CAAGAGGCGGCAGGCACTAGTGGTTACCACCCCTCAGCTGAGACAAGAATCCAACCTACATGAGTATGCTGCCTCTCAGTCACTCCACTCTAACCTGAGCTGTTTGGTTGCAGGTATCAGCAGAGCATTTTTAAGACATGAAGATCCGTGTGCACAGCACAAAGGCCTCTGAAGATGTGACAAGTGCTAGTCCCAGCTAAGAAACTTGGTGAGTCCAGAGTCTAACTGTACTCTCACTGAGTCAAAAACTAGGGCTTAGAGCTTTGGCTCAAATGCACAACAGATGCAGAGAAAGTCTTGGTCAAGAAACTGAGAAGCAATAACAAAAAAGAAAAGAAAAAAAGAAACAGCAGGGTTCCTTTTCTTTCGATTAGATCTTACAATGACATTAAGGCATGTGGAGAGGGGAAATAGAGATCGAGTGTATCTTTCCTCTTCTCATAAGGCAGCTAAGGGTTACCAAATAAAGCTAGTGAGTGACGCACAAAAGGAGAGAGTTCTTCCAATAAAATATAGCTAACCTGTGGGCTTCTTTGCTACTAGATGTTATGGTAGGCGAGAATTGTATTGGATAAATTCAGAGATGATACTCAAAGATACTAGCTACCTAAAAATGACCAAATGGCTTAACATTTGCATTTATAACACCAGACAGAGATATTATCATGAAAGCAGAAAGTGTAAAGGTGCCAGATCCCTGAGCTCAGAGGATTTTGGATTGAACAAGTTGAAGGTGAGCTGGAATGCTTCTGTACATTGCTGCTTGAGCACTCAACAGCCAGTGCTTGGAAGAACTACTTTCAACCTGAGAAGAGCCTCAATGCTCATGTCAAAAATACTGTTAAAAATGTGTGAACAGCAGCACAGATATCAGGAGCTGCACTAAGATTACTTCTAAACTTTCAAACTGCTAGAAGAGGGGAATGCACCTTTTGGTCATATTTACTATCCCTCTGAATCGACTTCAAAAAAAGTACCAGGAGAGAAGTTCTGTCTCCTATATCCCAGGCCCCTTATCCAGCACTTATCATAGTCCACTTTATCTAATAGGAGTGCATAGTTACCAGCAGCAGGGCTATAGCTCATAAAATGCAAAGCAGAGGGAAATCTCTCGACTTGAAAACTCCTATCGTTCTATTTAGTAAATGTACCCATTATTTAAATCATCAGATAGTTACTTTGCCTTCGTTTTGCTAAGTCATACAGAGGTGCAACAGCAA